TCAATAACTCACTGGTACTCAAACATGAAGCTGGTCTTTTCCACCTCGGCAAAGGTCTAAAACTCAGCTGTGGGAGAAGTGTGACTCTTAGCCCCGCTCACCAGGTTGACAACAGTCACCCCGCTGCTCCTAACTCACCGGCTTTCTTGCTATATTTAGCATCACTTCAGACAAAAAAAAAATAAAAAAATGAATATCGGCCAAAATCAGAATCAGAAGGTCAGGCTTTTTCTTTTTTAAAGATTGGTAATCGGTGATCGGCCAGAAAACTGTGATCGGTGCATCACTGATGTTTTCCATCTCTGGATCTACTTCTCAGTGAAATGCTGGCAAAAACGTTGTTAAAGTGTTAATAGAGGAGCCATGAGTGGAGTTTCAGAAACTTGGGGACTTTTAAAAGAGACAGAGGCCCAAATTCAAGGAGTTTAAATATAAAGTCAAATTTATTTGAAGTCTTACTCGATATATGAAGCTATGAAATACATAACCCTACAACTTTGCCGTTTATGTCCCTTCAAGTCTCCCAACATTTATCATTCAGATCAATGTATGGTCCAAACTGTCAAATATGACTCAGGTGGTTATGTTCCAATGCAGAATCATGAGTCCATCGGTCCGTCCTTATACTTACTGAAGCGTCTCCTCTTACTGTCTGTTGTCATCTGAACTGATCACGTTCCGTCTTTATTAATAGCAACTTTAATATCAATGTGTAAAATCACAGAACATGTTTATTTCCTTTCAATGCTGAGCCGCACAGATAAACACATATGTGTTTCCGATCCGGTCAGTTTGGAAATGGTGTGGAAGGACCGTGTGTGCGTGTGTGTGTGGGGGGGGGGGGGAGGGGGAGGGGGGTTGGGAAAAAGAAAAAAAGAAACTATTCCACACCCACCCACAAACCCACAGTCGCCCCCAGCCCCCACTTCTTCTTGCCAGCTGAATTAATTTGATACTATTTTTGAAAGTCAGTGTTTCTAAGGGATACCTAATAACGCAATGACGTCAATGCAGGTCAATAGCACACTCCTGGAAAAGAGGGACAGGGAATGGGAGAGAAAACACACACACACACACACACACACACACACACACACACACACACACACACACACACACACACACAGATATATATATGGCGACAGCAGAATGGACGGCAGCTGGTTAAAGATCTAAATTCCTTCCCTGTTTGGTCTCCAAAAAATATTTCTGGTGAAGCTTTTTGTTGTTGTTTATAGGTGATTTTATTTTTTTTCGTTACTTCTTTTTTTAAAAATTTTTTTTATAGCTATATAAATGACAGCAGTAGCTGTTGCGCCGCGCTGCTCCCCCCTCTCCATTGATGCTTTCCGTCTCTGTCTGGAAGACACACACACACACACACACACACACACACACACACACACACACACACACACACACACACACACACACACACACACACACACACACACACACACACACACACACACACAAAGAAAGAAAGAGAGAGAGGGAGAAACAAAACGGCGAGTCTCAGACCGAGCTTCTACATTGCGAGATGAATCGTGTGCGTCTCTCCGCATGCGTAAAGCCCCCCAGCACCCCCCCCCCCGCAAACCTCTTCCTCTCTCCCCCCGATTTGGCGGGATCTCTTCCATCCGCTGGGCTCCGTTTGTGTTTCCCTACTTTCTCCGTTTCTCCGACCACCAGCCACCTTTCAACTCCCAGACCGCGTACAGCCGCCCCTCCCAAGCAACAAAATAAAAAATATATATATATAATGAAATGAAAATCCACCCCTCATTCGAGCAGGCTCCTTGAATCATAAATGGCAACCACAAATATATGTCAGTTTACCAAAGAACAGGGAGAGGACGCACATCCTGACGCAGGGGGGTAGAGAGAGAGAGAGAGAGAGAGAGAGAGAGAGAGAGAGAGAGAGAGAGAGAGAGAGAGAGAGAGAGAGAGACTGTGGGGCGATCCCGCTCTGCCTTGCTTCTGTCGGTGTCAGCCTGCAAACATCATTTTATTTATAGAAATAAAACAAAAACAAAAAAATCTAAATCTGAAAGGTAAGTGCCTTCATCTCTGGTGCCAGTAGGTGGGAAGTTTGCAGTAAGATTCGATATTTTCGCACTTTTTCCCCCTTTTCTTTTCTTTTTTCTATTTTTTTTAGTGGATGATCAGAAGATGAATGTGGCAGCGCTCTGCTGATCTGGAAGCAGAGTAGCGGGGAATTCCACCCTAACTACAGATCAGCCCGGTCGTTTCCAAGGAGGTTTTTGGTCCAGTTTTTTTTTTTTTTTTTTTTTTTTTTTTTTTGCAAAGCAGTAAAGAGGGAAACGATGTGAGTGACGTTAAAGCATGAACCAGTTGAAGCATCTCCTGGGTTTCATTTCGCATCTGTTCTGAGTTGGTCTTCGGGATGATCACTGCAGACCCCTCGGGGGGGTTTTAGCACCTTGATGTTCTCACTTCGGCTTCTGACCCGATTATGACGTAAACACTTCACTGAGATCGCGCTCTGTTGGGATTCATGGTTTGTAGATGCTGAAATATATATTGTAATCTGTAACATCCGTGCGTTGGCTTTCCTGTGCTTTCCACCGCGCTGCTCTGTGGTGAAGCCTCTAGTGAATGAATTCAAAGTGACTGAGGGGGGAAACCTCATCCATCTGTCATGACTTTGTTTCCTTACTTGCACGTTGCTCCAATGTTTCTTGTTTCTCCATTGTTGCTCGGAGCGGATTACAGTTAGGCACGCTGATTGGTTCTTATTGAAAGTCGTTTGCCTTGTGGAGATGTTGGCTGAAAAGAACCCCCCGCCCCCGCACCCCCCCCCCCCTCACCACACACACACACACACACACACACACACACACACACACACACACACACCTGAATGGTCCTTGGACAAGCTGTTCGGCACCAAGGACAGCTCCCACCACGTACCCTCCGGTTCGGGCTTTTCTCTTGTTGGTGGCCACTCTGATGTCCCAATGATCGATGTTTGCAGACGGTTTCATCTGCTGGGTGATTATTATTATTATTATTATTATTATTGGTTTTCTTCTCCGGGTGCTCTACCCAATGGTAGGTTCGATTCCCCCTTTGAGCCTCAACAGGTGTTAAACTTATCCTCGGTCCAATGTGTGTGTTTTTCTAATGACTGTTCAAGGAAAAGTGCTGCTTATCTGTTTATATGTTTCTTCTTTATATGTTTGAACATGGTTAAGAGCGTCTGTTGCTGTTTTTCTTTTTTTTTTCTCTAGTCACGTTAACTTTAAAAAAAATAATCTCGATTCGTGCAGGACTTTGACGTTGCCACCATTTGTTTGGAAAAAAAAAGAAAAAGAAAAACAAAGTTAGGAGTTTGAAGTGAATTCTTCGTTGGCTCTGCGCAGCTCGAGCGAAATGTGAAAGCCCAACTCTGACCTGATGTTTGTCTCCTTGGACCTGCGGGAACATCACGATCTGTTTCAGAAGCTGCTGCTGCTGTCAGACCCTCAACAAGCACTTAAAGGGCTGCAGCTTATTTTTGCATTATGGTCACATTCCCGACCCGCTAATCATCCCAAGGAATGACCAGAAAAACCATCTTGTGGAACTTAGAAATTGGCACAATTAAAGTAAGGAATAAGTTCCACTCGATGGTTTTTCTGGTCATTCCTTGGGATGATTAGCGCTTTAATGACACCAAGCTTGCTCGTTTAGTTTTTTGATTCGGACTTGTTTATTTTTATTTTTATTATTATTCTTTTTTGTGTGTGTTTGGGGGGGGGGGGGGGCGGTAAGTTCTTCTGAAACATCACGGACCCCAAAACAGCTCCGTGCCGAACTCCTGCTGCTAGATGACTTTCATTAGAGCCACAAAACCCCACACTTTCTTTCCAGCAGCAATTTAGGAAATGACTTTAAATCGTCGGTTGTCGGAGCGGGAACCGGTTCCTCCCCGGGGTACGAACTGACACAAGGTCGGCACGAAACGTCACGGAGCCTGGCGCCCCTTTTCGTACCCAAATCGAGTCTTTTTTTTTTTTTTTTCATCGACAAAGACGTTTTTCATATTGAGCAAGAATAATAGAGGGGAGGGGGGAGGGGCCGATGTTGCCTCACACAGTTGGGAGTGTGGCAACATCGGTGAGATGAAGTCGAGGTTGGGAGAAGCTTTGGCCAGAAACTTGCTGTGGTCCAGAGGGCATGGTGCACTTTGATTTGTGCCTCTTCTGGCCGGTGGGATGGGTTTGGGAGGACGAAGGGCTGCGGCGCGGGGTTTTTTGTCGACATCTAGCGGCGGTCCAGGCACACTACACCGTGGAACCGCGAGCGGATTGGCAGTGAGTGATGCTCGACTGAATCGTCTTGATAAATACAAGAACCACGTTCACACACGTCTGTCTGTCTGTCTGTCTGTCTGTCTGTCTGTCTGTCTGTCTGTCTGTCTGTCTGTCTGTCTGTCTGTCTGTCTGTCTGTCTGTCTGTCTGTCTGTCTGTCTGTCTGTCTATCTATCTATCTATCTATATCTATCTATCTATCTATCTATCTATCTATCTATCTATCTATCTATCTATCTATCTATCTATCTATCTATCTATCTATCTATCTATCTATCTATCTATCTATCTATCTATCTATCTATCTATCTATCTATCTATCTATCATACTGTTATCGTGAACGTGCTCTGAATGTGTCCCCATACATACACGCACGCGCCAGCAGTCACGGATATACAGTTGGCCTACAGGCAGGGATAAAAATAGCACAAACAGATGCGACGGGCGCAGCCCTTTTCCTTTCTCAGATCCGACTTTTTTCCAGGCTTCCACTCAGTGGATACTAAACGCCACTTTTAATCCCCCCCCCCCCTCCCTCCATTCTCCTCCACTCCGCCCCTCCTCCTCCTCACCCCCCACCCACAGCCCACCCCGTCCCATCACGTTCGTGTCCACGCGGCGCGTAAGTTGTGCAGACCGACGGGGCAGAGTCGGCGCGTGGAAGGTGGCAGACGGAGCAGGACGGAGCACGCGGCGGACGGAAGTTTATTTGTTACGCCGCCGCCTTTGCGCCGCGATCCGTGCGGTATGAAGCTGCGGGCTCTGACCGCGTGGGCTCCACAGCTGGCTCTGCTCGCCGTGGCTCCTATCTGTGTGCGCGGGCATGCGCGCGTGCGTGTTTGTGCCCGCCAAAAAGCGCACTGGATGCCGGGACGGAAATTCTCCCGGACCAAAAACAGCGCCAACACTTGGGATGCGTAGAGAAACGACTGGGAGGAAAGAGAGAGTGAGAGACAGAAGAGAGAGAGAGAGAGAGAGAGAGAGAGAGAGAGAGAGAGAGAGAGAGAGAGAGAGAGAGAGAGAGAGAGAGAGAGAGAGAGGAAACCCCGACGCTTCAGCCTTAGCTGAGGGATTTAACCTGCTCCAAAAATATATAATAAATAAATAAAATCGTTTCCAACAAGTCCACGCCACATTAGTCCGTCTTATCACTCTTTTTTTTCCTTCTTCTTTTTCCTCCTCTTCTTCCGTGGCACAGTTTGGACAGAGGCGCGCGCAGAGAGGCGCGTCTTTAATCAGGCTTTACGGGCTGGAAAGTGAGAGAATCTAAACGTGACGTCAATGCCTAGTAACTGACGCAGCCCTTCAACATAAAATGTCTTTTTATTTATTTATTCCCCCCTCCCACCACCACCACCAACAACCCTCCTTCTCTCTCTTCTCGTCAGCAAAGCTTAATTACTCAAATTCACAGAGCTCCGTCAACTAACAGAAAAAAAAGAAAGAAAGAAAGAAAGAAAGAAAGAAAAGCCCTGCAGGCGGCGCCGGGCGCTCCGCGTCCATCACTACTTGGGCAAAAAGCTCTTTTTGGCTTTCGGGGAGTTTCGGTGAAGCTGAAGTAACAACCGGAACCAGAAGCTTGTGAAGAGGGCGACGAGACATCGGACGTAGTCGACGTGATCACAGAGTGTTTGTGTGTCAGGAAGGAAAAGTGGCGGAGAAAGGATCAGAGCGGACTTTATTTCATTTGCTTTTTCTTTTTTATTTGTGTGTAACGGGCGGGGAGCGATCCTGAGCAGAGCCGGAAGAACAGAGAGAAAGAAACAAACAAACTAATGGTAATAATAAAAAATAGACACGATGCACTTCACGTAAAGAGCCCAAGCGATGCTCGTGAGTGGACGCTTTTTTTTTTTTTTTTTGCGCTGCTAAAAATAGCATTATAGTTTTGATCGCGCGCCAGAAATAGACAGACGGTTCTTACTTTTGTAAAGAAAAGAAAAAGAAGGAAAGAAAAGAGAAAGAAAGAAAGATAGAAAGAAATAAATAAAGAAAGAAAGAAAGAATAAAAGAAAAAAAGGAAGAAAGAGGGAGATCCAACTTGGACGTGCCATTGTAAGCCTATTTGAAAACAAGTGTTTGTGTGCGTGCATGTGTGTGTGCGTGTGTCAGAGTGTTAATCTGTTGCATTTCTCTGTCTGTTTCCACTAAAACAAACTCAATGTCTCTCTGTGCATCTCCCTCATTTTCTTTGCAGCTTTGAGAGAGGACGGGCCACATCACGGTGAGAGAGACATCTGCACACGCAATGTTGATCTCCATGTACTTCTACATCTCTGTGTGTGTGTGTGTATATATATGTATATATATATATGTGTGTGTGTGTTTGTGTGTGCATGCTTCTCTTCCTTCCTTCTGCTCTTACCTCGTACTTTACTCCAAGTCATCTGGAGGATATTTTATATTTTTGTGGTGGGTTTGGGGGGGCAGGAGGGGGGACTCAGCTCTTCCTGCAGAGCAGGAATCTCCCCTTTTTCAGTAAATAAGCTGGAGCAGGAGAAAGAAAAAAAAATGAAAAAGTCTCTTTGTTTGTTGGCGCTGTCGAGTCTCTATTACGCGTTTATTTCTCCTCCCTCCCATTTCTGTGCTTAACCGCGAAAGCGAAGGGGGGCGGGGGGAAATCCTGCTCTGATTAGCGCTTTACGGACGACTTTCCAGTCGGTTTCTTGATTATTTTTATGTTATTTTTTATGATATATTTTTAAAGAAGAATCGTGTTGACAGAAAAGCCTCTGGAGGAAGAAGAGGAGGAGGAGGAGGAGGAGGAGAGGAAGGAGCTGCTGCTGCAGCAGCAGAGAGCTGGACGCACCGCATGGGGAGACCCGGGAGCTGTCCAAGCAGCAGTGGTGCTGAAACTACACCAAGCGGCAGTAGTGGGCTGTTGCTGTGCATGCGTGTACGTGTGTCTTTTCATACGCATGTGCGGTGTGCGTGCGTGCGGATGTGTGCGTGCGTGCGTGCGTGTGACTACTCTGGAGTTTAGCCGGTGTTGTTTTCGGGGCACTGCTTGCTTGGGTGTGTTTTCTTCATTTGAGCGATTTCTCGTTTTGTTTTTCTTTTTTTGTTTTGTTTGGGTTTTTTTCTTCCTGAAGATAAAACTTCCTTGCGGTCAGTGACTGGAGGCAAGCAGACAAACTGTAGCGGAGCTTTTTTGTCCGACGTAAAAACTTTTGAATCCGAAGCCGGGGGGATTAAAAGGAGGAAAGAGAGAAGAGGAAGAGGCATCGGGAAAATTTGGATCCGCATAGGAAACACCTGATGCCCCTCAAACTCCCCCGCCCCACCCACCCACCCACTCACCTCCCTCCCCTCCAGCGCTTTCATTATTTTTAGCCGCGCTTGCGGTTCTTTATTATCTGTAGCTTCCCGACGAGCGGAGGGCGAACACGAGTGGGAGATGCTGCCTGCCACGGTGGCCTCCAGCCTCTCAGACAGAGGGAAGGGAAAAGGGGAAAGGGATCGCCCCCCCTCTGACCCTCTCCCCCTCCCTTTTTTTTTTCTATTTATTTTTCTTTTAACGTGGTGGAGGCGCCATGGCGACTGTCTGCAGGGACAACACGCCGCCCTGACCATCAGAACCAGACAAATCTCTCGGCATCGCGAAATAAGACGCTTCCGGCTTCCGTACAACAAAGAAGGCTCGGAAGGGAGAGAGAGGGAGAAAAAAAAAAAAAAAAAGAACCGCGACGAAACGTCTTTTTTATGCAAAAAAAAAAATAAAAAATCCGTCTGCGGTCGACGTTTAGGATACATCGCTCCACCTCTTCAAAACACACACACACACACACACACACACACACACACACACACACACACACACACACACACACACACACACACAACACACCACACACACACACACACACACACACGGACACACGGACACAGCAATGAAAGCAATAATAATAACAATAATAATAACAATAATAATAATAACACCATCTCTTCCGTCCTTTCGTGGCGTAAAAACGCGCCCGTGTCGAAGCCCTCGCGCAGCAATGCAACGCCGAGCGTGAAATTTCGGTGGAAACGACGCGGGTTCCCGAGTCGTGACTGCCACTGTGAGTCATGTGCGCGTCGGCTGCGTCAGGAGAGGCGGTCACTGTGCAGCGCCGACGGTAGGGGGAAGAGTCGTGACTGACTGAGCTGCGAATTAAAAAAAAGAAAAAGAGAGCGAGAGAGAGAGAAAGAGAAAGAGAGAGAGAAAGAGAAAGAGAGAGAGAGAGACCACCCAATAAAAGAGGAAGAAAGGAAGGAGAAAAAAGAGAAGCAAGAAAAATATATACAAAAACAAAACAGATATGGGGCGGGGGGGGGGAGCGGAGCGGGAGAAGGGGTGCACTCATGGGGATGGGCAGAAGGATGGGGAGAGGGTGTGGTGTTGTTATGGGCTGGGGGTAAGAGGAGGAGGAGGAAAAGTGTAAGGGGTCTTAGATAGGTGCTGGGTGGGCCTTTGCGTGAAGTAGTTTCCCCTTCAGCCTCCCTGTATCCTCCCATCAGACCCCCATCTCACCCTCACACACACACACACACACACACACACACACACACACACACACACACACACACACACACACACACACACACACACACACACACACACACACACACACAAAGCTGCTTTTCTTTTCGGACAACATCGTCCTGCTTGTTGGCATGCTGGCTGGCGGTCTGAATGCAGACAAATTTCATCAGGAGAGAGAGAGAGAGAGAGAGAGAGAGAGAGAGAGAGAGAGAGAGAGAGAGAGAGAGTAAGAGAGAGAGAGAGAGAGAGAGAGAGAGAGAGAGAGAGAGAGAGAGAGAGAGAGAGAGAGAGGAGCTAGGGGGGTATCATCGTTGGGGGGTGAGGTGTGTGTGTGAGGGGTAGGGTAGGAAGGAGAGTCCGGTCCGGATCGCGACACGAACTTCTGCTTGATGGCAGTTGAGTGAGTCGCTGAAGAGCCAGGATGAACAACAACAACAAAGAAAACAAAACAACAACAACAAAACTCAAGCTAATGGAACTGCTGCTGGGAAGGAGTAAAGTAAGTTCCCGCTACTTTTATATGACAAAAACAAAACAAGTTCACTTTAAAACAACATGGAAGAAGAAGAAAAACTTAGAGACGATTCAAATCGTGCGTGCGCGTGAATGCAAGTGCGTGCGCGTGAGAGAGAGAGAGGACATAAAGTGGTTCATGGTCTCGGTGAACTCTTCCTTCTCTCTCCCTTCTTGGGACGCGATGTTTTTCTACATTGCGCTGTACATTTTTATTTTTTATTTATTTTTTATTGCAGTGTGAATGCCGCCATTCTCACTGCAATTCCGGACATAGTTTGCAGTTTGGACTTCCCCTGACCCCCCTCCATCCCTGCCCTCCAGACCCCCTGTGGTCCTTGCGGTTCTCCCCTCCAGTGACCAGGCGGCCACCGATCCCGGTCCCGGTCCCGGTCCCTGACGCTGTGCGTGTTTGACTGGACCGAGCCGCTTCACCCACATCCACTTGTTCTGACTAATGTTGCCTTCACGGTTCGGCTCGGTCACTCCGCTCATGATCAGTCCTCCGGCTGCACGAGGTGTGTGTTTTTGACATAGCCTAATAATAATCATAATAATAATAACACTAATAAAAATAAATATCATGGTTTTAAGTGGGAGTGGCTCATCCTTGCTGTGTCACACATCCTATTTGTTGTTACTGTTGTCATATTTCTTCGTTTTCGCTCGTCACGATCCTGTCAGTTTTGCTTCATTTTTACATACAAACTCCCATTTCAAACCAGTATCCAAAGGCTTTGTATCCAAACCTCAGTATATTCTCGGTGATATAGATTACAGTTTGTTTATAGCCGACTCTTTTTTTTTTTTTGCCTATTTTTCCCCCTCTTTTTTTCTTTTTTTTTTTCAAAAGGGGGGTCCCTACATGAGCGCGGCACCGATTGGCCGATGACGAGATTCAGTGTGCTCCAATCAGATCGCTCCTTGCTCTCTATTTATTGCCAGCATTTACAGCCTTGCTCCCTCCTCACCCAGAGCTTTAGAGCGGCTGCAGACAGCCAGAGCTTTTTTTCTTTTTTTTTTTTTTTTACTATACAAGCAGCAGATAACATTACACGCGCACGCGCGCACGCACGCACACATGCACACTCGCGCGCACACTCACACACGAACAACAAAACGCATCGGTGCACAGCTCACTGCGATCACACGGGTTTTGCACGGCATTGCGTTTGGCTATAGGGGACAAAAAGAAAGAAAGAAAAATAAAAATAATAATAATAATAAAAGAATCTATGTGAAAGCAGTCTGCTTGGATGGGGATGCTTGAGGGAGGAGAGACGTGAGGGGAGGATAGAGAAGGATTCAAACTGGAGAAGGAGCGTAAGGACCTTGGATAGCTCTCAGTTGCAGCAGCAGCAGTAGTCGGAGACGCATCTCCTCCTCCCCCCTCCACCCGCCACCCCTTCTCCCCTCCACCCCGAACCCTCCAACCCTCCCCACACCATCTTTTTCTATCATCCATCCTCTCCTCTTCCTCCTTCTGAGTACACGTTGGAGGAAATATAAGCCGCGGCTCGCTGAAAGCCGGAGATACAATCGACCGAGCCGGGACTGGAGATAGAGGAGACGCGGGGCTACCCGGGTGTCACGGAGTCTCCGTGGGACCTCGGCGGCAGGAGCCGCGGCAGCAGCGAAGATAATGTCCTTCACGAATCTTTTTGCGGTCTGGGCTTGCTGTTCGCTACGATTAATCTGGGAAGCCCTTACCCCAAAAAGCATTTGCGGAGGGCGCAATCGCCGCGCCGAGACGTGCTCAACGCAAAGACCGGGAGCGGGGGGGAGGGGGGGGGGTAGTGGGGGAAAGGGGGGTGGAAGTCTTTCCACTCGTGGAATTCTTTTCAGAATCGTGTTTTTTAAAGGACTTTCCTCCTTTTTCTGCCCACTTTTCTATTTCAATTCATTGCTGTCGGTATTTACCCTGGCCATTTTCAGCACTGCCACAACTGTGGCGTTTTTATCATAGTTGTCTTTGTTATTATCATTATCATCATCATCATTATTATTAGTAGTAGTATTGTTATTATTATTATTATTATTATTATTACCCTCCAGCCCCCCTGGACGTGTCTCGTTATTTTCCCCAGTTTTTCCTGCTTGGACTCCACGGGGAAGCGATCTGTCACTTACAGTCATTTCTGTTCTGTTGTTGTCGATACACACACACACACACACACACACACACACACACACACACACACACACACACACACACACACACACACACACACACACACACACACACACACACGTGCTCTTACACCAAACTTTGGAGTTTGTAACATGAAGTCACTGCTTCAACCAAACACCTCCACCCTGTCCCAAACTGAGCAAAGGGGCCCCCCGGTCAGAGCAACGGTGTAAACACAGGGAGACACTTCCGCGTTGCACGTGGAGGGTCGAGTTGAAGTGTCACTTTACTTCCCAAAACTCCTTCACGACCTTGCACCTGAAATCCCCGATTCAGAAAGTTTACAGTGGGAATCACACACACACACACACACACACACACACACACACACACACACACACACACACACACACACACACACACACACACACACACACACACACACACTCTCTCTCTCTTCTCTCTCTCTCTCTCTCTCTCTCTCTCTCTCTCTCTCTCTCTCTCTCCCTGCAGGGTGTGAAGGGATTCCCCCTCTCCCCTAAAAACTGTCCATCCCGACACAGATCCAGGGCTGTTCGCCGCTGCTCGGTCATTACGGCGACTCGAGAAAACAGATTTCCTCATTTTACGAACGCGCGCTCTCTCTGGAAACGTACACGTGTCTCACTTTCCAAGTTTGTGAATAGAAGTTAATCCACGTCTCTCAATCACCCCCTCCCTTCCCCCGCTTCAACCTGCGAAACAAACAAAAAACAGTAAAAATAAATAAATAAAATAAAATAAAACTTGAACCGGGCTGGGCTCCTGCTCCCGGTCACAGACTCCGCTCTCTCGAGCGGACATTGTGACGGAGCGGAGCTCGCGCTGCGAAGTGCTCGGGTCGCAGAAAACAAAAGCGAGGAGCGAAAACTGACGCGACCGACGGAGAGAGTAAAAGGAAAAGATGAAGATCCGGCCGAGTTTAAGTTGGAGGAAAACGAAGAAAGGAAAAGAGGAAGGGAGAAGTTTAGATGGAGTTCCTCCACCTGCTGCGGCACATGAAGGGATGGGGGCTGGAGGGGGGGTCAGGGGGGCAAATGACGCGCGCTTCGCACCAGAATCCCCCTTTCCTTCTGGTGCGAGAGCTTCATACGCACACGGTGTTAATCTTTGCAGTGACACGAATCACTACAGCGGGACTTGAAGAGCAAGAAAGTCTCAAGTCGCAAACACCAAAAACTTAGAAATTCGTCAACTGACACGTTCGCTTCCGCATGAAGTTTGAACTTGTCGCGCTTTGAATCCAGAGAGAGAGAGAGAAAAAAGAAAAGCAGGACAGAGAGGAAAACGGGTGGAGAAGGAGAATGAACGGTCCGACAGTGACAGTCACTGCCGGCCTCTGAGGAAACCCGGAGCGGCGAGGAAACAGTTGCGCACTGGCTGGGAGAAAATCCGCCTGCTATTTATTATTATTATTATTATTATTATTATTATTATTATTATTATTATTATTATTATTATTATTATTATTATTATCTGAATGTGTGATGAAGTCTGAGCGCTTCAGAGGGTTAAATTGGGAGCCGTGCTCTCTCAATAACCCAAAACAACAACAGTAAGACGGGAAAGCGACGTCGAACAGATTAAAACTAAAGCTGACCTCTGACCTAATGCGCGGGCCTCCTTTTGCTTTGCCGCCGAAGTAGACAAAAAAAGAAGAAGAAAAAAACCCGTATTTGTAATAAAACGTGAAAATAAAAAAGTGACTCATGGTAAAACAACAACAATGACAAAAAACAAAACAAACAAAAAAAATGGTGGTTATGACTTTATGTCTGTTGCTTCCGGATGTCTCTCTGCTCGGCGTCCAGGTTGTGTCTCGGCTGAAGGTCACGGAGTTTCCTTCGAGGCCTTCTGTGAAGCGTTCGGCTCTCACCAACACGACTATCCCGTCTCTTTGTGTCACAGAAGAAGAAGAGCGAGAGGTCGCGGCTCGTCGCGGAAGGCGAGGCGACCTGAGTGGACTTTTATTTCCTGCCGAGCTGCGGACGGAGAGGAAAAAGGCGCGCCGGCGGGTTGGAGGTTTGCGCCTAGGACCGACTGATGGAGAGAGACCCCGCGGCACTCCCAATAAGGTAACTGGGCGCACTCTCTCTGTGCGGTCATGACGCAAAGCTCAAAGTTTGAAATTGGGTTTTGCGCAAGGCGCTTAAATCGCAGGTTGAGCGCGCAACCCGCAACAACCTCTGAGCCGGAAGAGGTGCCGCCGAATCTGAAGCGATCCGCAAACACCGAGTTGAATCACCTGCTGGTGGAAGTTCTCTTAAAAGTAATCCTTCTGCTCAAAATCATGCATGGAAGTTTGTTTGTTTTTTTAATTCTACGCTCTGCTAAATTAGCGCACTTAGAAATTGACGAATTTCTAAGTTTCTGGTGTTTGTGATTATTGGTGATGGTCTGTGACGTCGTCCAGCTTCTTCTCGTCTTCTGCTGAGTGTGTTAAGATGATCACTAATGCTGGAGCAGAAGCTCATCGTTGTTGTTGTTGTTGTAAGTCATCTGATTTCCCGTCAGGAAATCCAGCGTGCACAGTTTCAGCATTGCGCACTTCTCTGCACATCCGTGACCCCGAAACGCTTCTTTGTTTGGAACCGCGTCTTTTGCGTAATTGTGGATTTCTTGGTTCCTATGATATACTGAGAAAACGAGGCAGGGTCCCTTCTAAATATACATTCCACGCATTTTCATATATACCCAGTATATATATACACGACATTGAGACATTTAGAAGGGACCCTGCCTCAGTCCTCAGTGTAAGTCTGCTGGGTCAGATTGTTCACAAACCTGGGTGGAGGCTCTGCTGTTGCGTCGCGGAGCGGTTTGCACAAAGTGTTCCAGCAGCGGCTCTTGGCTCTCCCCCCCTGTTGTTTAAATAGTCCCCCCAACCCCCACACCCAGGGCCTCACAGTTTGTAGTCAATGTAAGATATTTCAGAGCATTCAATGAGGCGTTCACTTTGGACTGAAAAGTTCAAACACACACACACACACACACACACACACACACACACACACACACACACACACACACACACACACCCCCCCCACACACACACACACACACACACACAAAAGAACATTGTGAAAGTTGCAGGTTTAAACTACTTATTAGGAAATTTTACAGTTTGTGTCTAACTAAATAACTTTGAATTAGTGATGTAGAGTATATATTTGGGATTTTTAAAAAATATATTATTATTGAAATACCCAAAGTGAAGAAATGATACTTAATTTGGCTTGTATTGCTAAATTGCACTCTAAAAAAAAAAAAAAAAAAACAAACACCCAGAGTGTTCTCCGTTGGGCGTGACATCATTCACGAGATTTGATTTCTGAGAGAAACAAACTTACTGCGCTTCATTTCAGGTAGATCAGGAATATAATTGAGAACGCTGCTTTTACTCTGTTTTTAAAGGCGGACTAAAAGTTTCATGGTGCAGTTGTAAAAAATGGTCCGTTCCACTTTGACCAGTTTAAGTGTGTTATATTTACCCCCACAGATGACAAAACACTGTCTGTATTATAAAACAAATACGTAATTTTATCTACCAAGTGGAAGCTTCAAATACTTGTTGTTTTTTACCTCCCCTGGTGGACTGCCGCCCTGGGCGGTGAGCCGCAGTCTACTCCAGAAACCCAGCTGTGGTTTTCATGAGTGCATACTGAGAGCAGAGTGACGCATAAAGTACCTGTTGAAACTTTCAGCTGACAGTTATTTATCTCTAAAGACTATAAAAATGTGAACATTGAAATAGGCATCTGGCTCCAAGTTCTTTAAAAAAATTTTTTTTTAAGAATCATTATTACTGAATCGACTGGAGAGTTGGGTCAGATTCTCCGGTCCAGAACACAACTGGTTTGAATCTTACAGAAAGAACAGGGATTTCTCTGTTTCAATTGGAAACTTCTCGTCAAAGAGGTCAAAGGTCACGAGCCGGGTACTCCAAGGTTCAATCCTAGGACCCCTCTTATTCAATATTTATATTCTCCCACTGGCTCAGGTTTTAACAGGAAATAATAGTACCTATCATAACTGTGCAGATGATACTCAGCTCTACATTATGATGTCACCAGGTGACTCAGAACCATCCAATCACTGAACAGATGCTAAGAGCAGATAAATGTGTTGATGTGCCAAAACCTTCTCTGGCTGAACAAAAACAAAAGTTATTATTTTTGGACCTAAAGAGGAACGATCTAGAGTCAATGCTCAGCTTCAGTTATTACAACTAAAAACTGGCGATCAGGTCAAAACCTGAGAGTAGTGATGGACTCTGTAGCTGTCTTGATGTGGCTCTGAACGTTCAGATCAAAGTCGGCCTTCTATCACCTGAAGAACATCTCCAAGATTAGAGGACTAACGTCTCAGTCAGATCTAGAGAAACTCATCCATGCGTTTATCTTTAGTCGCATTGATTATTGTAACAGCGTCTTCACAGGCCTGTCCAACAAATCAATCAAACAGCTGCAGCTGATCCAGAATGCTGCTGCTCACGTTCTCACTAAAACCAGGATAGAGCACATAACTGTCTTAAAGTCCCTCCACTGGCTCCCTGTAGTTCAAAGAATAGACTTTAAAATACTATTAGTATATAAATCACTGAACGGTTTAACACCACAATACATCAAAGATCTGCTGTTGTTGTATCAACCTTCCAGACCTCTCAGGTCTTCTGGTTCTGCTCTGAATCCACAGAACCAGAACCAAAAGAGGAGAAGCAGCATTCAGCTTCTGTGCACCACAAATCTGGAACAAACTTCCAGAAAACTGCAAAACAGCGGAAACACTGACTTTCTTTGAATCTCGACTAAAAACACACCTGTTCAGACGATGGAACTTGACTTCATGCCATTTTTTGATTGTTGATTCTACATTGCTTGTTATGATGTAAATTACTTTGAAATGCCTTGCTGCTGAAATGTGCTATAAAATTTGACTGATTGATTGATTGATTGATTGATTACCACTTAATTTCAACAAAGACACAAACTCCGCACAGCCAGTGATATCTCAGCTGTTTCAGATGAATTTTGCTTACAAACTACGTTTGAACCCCCCAAAAAAGTTTCAGTGTGTTGTTCCCTGAAACCGAGCGTCCCTCAGCTGGGCTTCATGAGAACCACGGCAAAACGATCGGATTCAAACGAGGCGTGAGCAAATCCGGATGGAGACGAGAGTTGGGCGGACCGGGTCACCAGATCCTCACGGTTCTCGACAGTGACTTACTGACTGCTGTGCCTTTGGGGTTTTCCCTCTACAAACAGTCTCTTCATCACGCACAATGTATTTCCTGCAAGTTTGCTGCCTTCTGGAAACGGATCTCCCGCCGTGCGTTGGATCCTGAGACGTCTCGGGTTCTGCTCCCTACGCGCTCCGTGGACCGGGTCCCTGAGCGGGTTCTAAACGCTACATGATCAGGATTTAAGTTTGTTGGCAAACTTAAATCCTGGGGTAGGCCTGTTATAGTTTCTCACCATACCCCCCACTTTGTTCTATGAACCGCATCTTGACCAAATGCAACGTCAAAACATACGCAGGAGGTCAGCTGATTTCATTTTTACAAACTTGGAATTTTGGATTTTTTTCCCAGCCTGTGTGTGGTTTTGATTTATCGCATGCTGTGCGACAAATCATTGTGATAAATGATTGTGATAAATTGTGATAAGTTCATAAAATAAAATGTTATGAATTTTATTAATTCATACATTTTAAAATTATTTTTATGAATTAATAAAAAAAAAATAATAAAAAGAATCTGCTAACAATTGTTCGTCTCGTTTGATACCGGCCGCCAGTGATGAAGCTATATTTAGGTCGGTGACGTCACGGTAAAAACTGAAACCGAGGGGCTTTGAAGGCACGAGCAAGATAAAGAGATGGAGGTCTGATCAACTCCCAGTCACAGGACGACACAGTCAGTTATTCATTATTGTTGTTATAAAAAGACAGATGTCTTTATCCCGCCTGGCTGCTTGCTTAGAAGGACAGCAGTGACTTTTACATGTGAAGCTGCCATCAGTTTGACCAAATGTCATGTGGTTGTTTTTACTTTCTAGTTTACTTTTGATATTTTCAACAACAATCCGTATAGTTGACTGGGGTTGTGAATTTTGTGCCTTGCTCCTCTTTGTTTTGTATTCCTTTCGTTCCATGTCTTATAAGTCTCAACTTTTTATTATCATTATTATTTTTTATCGCCACCAAAGTTTTACATCGGTTTCTCCTGACCCCCAGGACCTCTCGCTCACCCTGGACAGAGTGCAGTCAAAGTAACGTCAGCACAGGACGGGCTGAGTGACGGGAAAGAGCAGTTCCCTCGTCTCTGCCGGTCCAGATTCGGCTGAAAACATCGATCCCAAATGTTGCTGTAACGCTCATCAATTCCCGATTCTCGGAATTGCAGATAGTGGCGGTAGCAGTCTGTGTCACGGCAAATTTGTGGAAGCCTCTGACTGAAGACGCTCTGTTCGTCTCACGAAGAGATGGTCTGTCATTTTCCCAATTTTAAGTCGAATCCTTCTTTGCACCCTCTTGAGAAGTTGTACAGTCGCCACTACGACAACCTCAACGTTGAGATTGAAATAACTATTTTGTTCTTTTAACAAGCAGAAGTACTTGAGAGCTTGAGGAAGTGAACGCCTTTGCGTGTGTGACGCCATACGGAAGAACATTGATGTCAGAACACCTGATCTTCTTAACATTCGCTCTCTGTCTTTGAGCTCCTGATGACACAGTCCAAATCAGATATTTACGGACCTTCGACAAAAAGACACAAACACGTTCTTTCCCTCGCTGTCTGAAGTTAGAACGGCCAAAATTGCTTCTATTTGCTAAATGCTGGAAACTTGGCGTGAACATCTTTTTTTCTTTCTTCCACAGACTTTGTTTTGTGACTTTTGTTGAATTTGGTCAGCATCAGGGACGACGCTGCTGCTGGTTTCAGTGTGTGACTTTATCTTGACAAGGTTTCGACTGTGACAAACACTGACCTGATCACACACACACACACACACACACACACACACGCTCACACACACACACGCACGCACGCACGCACGCACACACACACACACAC